CCCCTTTAACATCTGTCAAACCGCAGCTACTTGTAGATTGATGAGGGGGGATTTTGCTTTCTTCATTAATCTCCTGATATGTGTGTTTCTGATGTATACTGTATGTCCTTTTTCTCCTCCAGGCTGAAGGGGGTAATGGAGCGAGAGAAGGATGAACAGAGCGAATGTGAAATCATCAAAGATTCACCGGACTCCCCGGAGCCCCTGAACAAGAAACCACGTTTAGCTACAGAGGAGCAGCAGCCTCCGGAGAAATCTAAAGGTTCACTTTTATGGTTTTTTTATTATTATTTTTTATCAATCCTCTGTTGTGATGTAGTTTGTTTTTATTAATGATTAAATTAAATTAATCTAGAAATATTAAATATATTATTATTTATTAATCACATTGGATTATAGATTTTAAAAATAATTTTAAGAATTAAATATCATAATGAACAAGAATGTATGACTTTTGGTGAATCTCAAATGCTCAAGAATGCATTGCAACTTTCAATCTAAAAGCCATAAACCTAGCTTTACAAGAAACCCTTGGGCAATGTGAGATGTTCTGCTAAAAGAATACATACATACATACACACTTTAATGGACCATTGTGTGTGGACCTACATGATGTTTTTAATGATCAATCTTTAATGAGAAAACTAGCGAAGAAAGCACCAGCTACATCAGCACAGTCGAGTTACTTGTACTGCACGTGCACGGCATCAATTTTATTCTCAGAATTAGAAGCTACAAGCCAAGTCAGAAAGATCATCATCCAAAGTGAATGAAAAGGCAAGTTAGAATGTGGCAATATGAGGTACAGCAGCCAATCAGATCTGTGTACGAGGAGAAACAGCTGTCAAATATGGTCTCTTGTTTTGCAGGTCCTGTGTCTCTACTCACCCTTTGGACCAACAGAATAACTCAAGCCAACTCCAGGAAGCATCAGGAGTTTGCAGGAAGATTGAGTTCAGTGAATAACAAGGCTGAACTTTATCAACATCTGAAAGAAGAAAATGGGTGTGTTGACCTCATCGTTCGTCTCACTGTGGTACCCTGTGATCACATTAATCAGTCATTTTGTGTTTACTCGCTGTGTTTTCTTTATTAGGATGGATGTTCATGAGAATGGAAAAACCACCAGATGATGTGTGGAATACGCCTCTTCTCATCTCTGCAGGATCATTGATTTGTTGAGAGGATGTGATGTGACCTTTGGCATGATATCAAATGATGTTTTTGCCAGGACGCTGGTTTTGTGCCCGACAAAAAAAGAGTAAGGCAATGTTTTATAAAGGACACACTTTTTATATGCTTTAGTTTGTACAAAGATTCTGAAATATTCTGAAACAGAATAAAGAAACTTGTAAACAGTGTTAGTCCATGTTTGCATTATGTGTGTGTAGATGTTAATGTACTTTGTTTAATGTAAATTGTCTTCATCCTGGTTCATTTACCTTGCTGTGTATTTCATGGGTGTTCAGAAGGAACAACTTCCTACCTCTGGAAATTTCAAGAGATGGCGAATCAGTAAACCAATGAGAAAAATACACAAAACCCTTTATAAACCAAGATTTTTGTTAGCTTTATCAAGATGAGTCCTGTCCTAAATGGCACCCTCAGTCCCAGTGGTCCTCATCCAAGTGGACATTTCTGTGAAATACCGCTAAAAGTTCATTTGGCCACATGGAGGCACACTTGAGCACCCTTTGGAACTCTAAAATGACAAATGAGGCACCTATGGTCTCGTGGAGTTCATAACCTTGTCCCAAATGGCACACTTCATTTGCCGTTGCTTTCTTGCAGACTCACACTGCCCCCGTGAGCAAGCATGTGTCCCTTAAGTCCACAAAACTGTAGGGTGTCCCATTTGTATTTTTAGGTTTCACAGTGCCCTCTTTGTGCACTTCCACCGTTCTACCCGGCAGTCAAAGCGACATTATGTCACAAAATCTGGACTTTGAGGAAGACCACAAGGGCTTAGGGTGCCATTTGGGACAGGGCCATTGACATCCAGCTATGGCTCCTCAAGGGCACCACTTTGGACAGGGCTTAAATGGAGTCTCAGCCTTAGGTGGCCTGCTCACAAGACAGTGTGATACAAATTGCAAGTGCAAGAAATGCTACAGACTGCCAGTTTGATTTGCTATCTGCTGTGCAAAAAGTATAATTATCGCCAGAAGGCAGTATTTTTGTCTGAGCAAGTAGTAAAAAAAAATAGTAGCAACAAAACAAGATATGCTTGGGAACAACTTTGTTTGCAATTATGTCAACAACACTGTATTTTTCCATGGATGAATACACTGGTGGGATCACCTCTCACCTACTTAACGTGTTGGTCAGACAGCCCACTCGTGTCTTTATGGCGATAGTCAAAAGTCTTAGCTCATGAGTATTTTAAAAAAGGCTCCAAAAGTGTGTTTACTGGATGTGTAAGCCTTGATGTGTTTTGACTCGGTAATGCACAGAAACAGGAATCTAGCCAAGGACGAAGGAAGTTAGTGTCAAGTTTTCTGACTCCAGTGAGGATGAGGCATTGAGCGTTGAATATATGTGATACTAATGCTTGCTGTCATGCACACATATCGAGTAGAGGTGAAAGTAATTGTTTGTGTGGGGTTTGGTTCCCGGCACGCAGTTCTCCTTTTCTCAGCAGAACTTTCCACCTCTGCACTGAAGAAGCCTGCAGTCATTCGATTTGAGTGAAATCCATCTAACAGGGCAAAATAACTACCTCATGCCACTCTTTGCATTCACAGTGTTTGCAGCTTAGACTTCTGTTGGGAAGAAGCCAACAGGGAAATCAAGGTGTTTGAACTTAGTCAGGTCTTTAACCAGCTGGACCCCCTCATTAAGCTGAGACTGGGATTGTTCTGATATTTTTAGGACCAGCTTTGTGGACACTTTTTGTACCTGTTGCCAGGCTGAATTTCTAAACGGTAAACGTAAACAAAAAAAATCTGTTCCTCAGATTCTTAATGTCACTCACGATGTAATAGAAGTAGCAACATATCTTTTCTTCCGTATTGTGACGTGCATCTGAGTGAAACCGATTATTGAAAAAAAAAAAAAAATGTGTACAGCTGGGACTTACTTCTATCCATTGGTTAATGAGTGGATGAAGAAAGTCCAGCATATGTCGAGTGATATTTTAATTAAAAATTACCAGGTCAAAAAAACGTATGAAACTTGCATTCATATTTGCCTCCATCCAATAAACAACCAATGGACAGAACCCCCAACAAAGCCCCCACCCAATTTTCTTTTTCTTTTTAATAATTCACTTTCACTATACAATACGGAAGAAAGGATCTGTCGCTACTTCCGTTACATCGTGACTTTGAAAATTGGTTGCCTGGGACAATGGTCAGTTTTGTGGTTATTATACAAAAATATCTGACTACAGATTATCCCGATTGACCTGCTGTGTAATAATTTCGATAATCGCACACATAGAATTAACACAAGTTCTAGGCTTTTGACTGCAACTAGAAAAGGACACAATAAACAACAATGCTCTATTCTAAATTTATTTAGCATTTTACAATGTTACTGCATCTTTTCCACTGATGGCATAAATAGTTTATGCTGCTTGATAAACATGTCACCATAAATCATTTCAATGTGTGTTCCAGGCATTTGACACTTCTCAAGAATGAAGTAGTTTGTTTAAAATGGAGCTGAATAGAAGTTTGTTGCCCAAAGGGATTTTCGTACTGCATTAAAGGGATGCTCCACCCAAAAATGAAAATTCTGTCATCATTTACTCACCCTCAAGTTGTTGCAAACCTGTATGAGTTTCTTTCTTTTGCTGAACACAAAGGAAAATATTTTGAAGAACGATTGGAACCAAACAGTTGTTTGGCACCATTGACTCCATGGATACTATGGAAGTCAATGGTGCCAAAGTTCCAATCGTTCTTCAAAATATCTTGCTTTGTGTTCAGCAGAAGAAAGAAACTCATACAGGTTTGCAACAACTTGAGGGTGAGTAAATGATGACAGAATTTTCATTTTTGGGTGGAGTATCCCTTTAAAGGTCAAAACTTGTGATCCAGAGATATCAATCCATAATGCCATTTGATCTAAACTATCAGCTGAGCTTAATGTTGTTTTAGTCACACCTGTGTGTATAGCAGCAGGTGATAGAATACACACTGTTAATTTCTAATGCACACACATCAGTCCCACACCTCAAGCCTGTTACAATTGCACAGATATTTAGGTAACGCTTCCTTTTACAGTACAGTACTTATGTGTACTTACAGTGTACTTACCTAGAAAGTACTGGCTAATATAAGGTAAGTACATGGGTTAGGGGTAGGTTCAGGGTTAGTACCTAGTTATTACCCAGTAATTGTAATTACTATAATAAGTGCATAGTATGTACATGGGTAACAGGACTGTAAAAGGAAGAGTTACCGATATTTATACGGGCATTTAGTATTTATACGGGCATTTAGCACAGTCCATGTTACACCTTAATACAACCCGTTGAGGATTATACCTGTATTAAGTGCCATAAGTGGATCCTCAGGCCACACAAGCTTAAAACTGAACGTCAGTGCATGCAGCCTAACAATGCTAAAAATAAAAACATTGTTTATATTAGCTGTTAAGCGTGTTGTGCAATTTTTTTTCATCCATGTTAAAAATAGTCATCTTTGCTACTTATTGATATGTTGCTTTATGCTATTTACACTTTTTTTAAGAAAGGCATGCGTCTCAAACATTCCCCTCGTCACACAGAGATGACTTGGTTCTTAAAGTCTTGCGGCATTCAGACAACCGAATGCTCTTTTGTAGATCATCTGAGCACCAGTTCTGTGTGAAATCAACACACAACTATTCCAAATGTAGAAGCAGATGGATTTTGTTTTGAACATATAGATACCTTAACATGATGTGCAAGGCTTTAAACCAAACCTGTCTTTTTTTACGAAGAGATACAACGATTTAGTCATCCATGAAGATCATGTTAAAATGTTAACTTTTGCCAGAAGTGTTTTTTGGAAGAAAAAAAATAAAAAAATAAAATCAGTTCAATTAGTTTACAAAAATATCCAAACAAATCCAGAAGCAACTGCAGCAAATCTAAATGAGCAATTCCTTATTCACACCATCAAGAGCTCCTTGCTAAATTTAAAAATAAATTGAGTCATTCTGCATCTCTGTGAATGTGTTTTTAAGGGAAGCAGGTGCTACTACAGTTAAAACATTCACAAAAAAAAAAATGTCATCAACAAAATATTTTGGAGCTGCATCCCTTTGCACAATTACAAATCTCTACATTCATGACTTCCAGAACACTTTGGTTTAATCTGAAATAAAATATAGTTCTGAAAACTAGTAAAACAGTTTAGTTTAAAATATATGCAACTAGTGTGATCTTTGCTAGTATGTGGATAGCATTTTAGTGAGATCAGGTAAATAAAAAAAAGTAACTTGCAGAAATAAACAGAAATAAAATGCATTCATTGGCCAAAAAGGTTTACTGACAGAACACATTGATCTAGACCAGTCATTAGAATGACTTGTGTGTAACTACATTGTTCTGTACTTGCATTATTTAAAAGGCTACTTTTTAAACTAAGCAGTTCAGCACAAAATCAGGTTGCTTCATTTTAAAAGGTAACAAAGTTCACTTGTCACAAGCTGCTTTCATGCAAAAACACCTCTCTTCGTCACTTTCACACTTTAAAATATCGCATGCACCTGTTTTCCTGATTAGTGCGATCAAACGCAGAAAATTATTCTTCAGCTTTTAAGATTTCTGTGAAATTCCACAGCAGATGTTTTGGCCAATAAAGTGCAAACTAAGGCGAAACCCCACCCCTTTCTATGAGCTTTCATCACTTCTATGAGCTTTCATCACGACTATGAGCCATAAAACATAAACTGCATAATTTATCATCCTCCACGATCTCTTTGCATCTCCCTAAAATCCTGCTGCTTGCATATCGCATTGAGTGTGAGGTTTACCTGGAGATTGAGAAACATTCTAGAAATGAAAGACATCATGATGCTGCATTTTCTAACTTGCACCAAAAGGTCAATGGATTGAACTTAGGCTGAGGCAGCATGTATTCTGTCCTTTTTTTCTGTATGAGTTTAGTAGTTGCCTTGTTCAATACATGTTAAAAGCCTTACTGCGTTTTGGGTCCAGTGAAAGTGAGCATACATTCAGCTGGAGTTGTCTTTGTAGGATTTGGAGAAAGCACTGATTGGGTTGGATTAGTCAAACAGCCATCAAGAGGAAGGAATCTTCACCGTGAACATGCTCACTGCATATTTTCTGTAGAGTGAACAACAGATACCTCTATATTTCCTAGGAGTGTGATCTCGCCGAAGACTCTGAATCATGGTCTCGGAGTGATGTGGAGTCATGTGGGAAATTGACTGCATTTAGATGTTGATGCCGGTGCAAAATCAGACATAGATGCCTTCCGGGTTAAAGGTCGTGTTCAGGGGGCTCTGCAGAACTCGTAGGTCAGCGGGAAGTTGTCGGGCTGATCCAAGCCGCTTCAGAGATCCAGACTGATTTTCTGACTCTACAGAGACAAAACAAAGAGAGACTTTAGTTAAAGAGTATACTTTAAAGTTGACATCGAATTTAGAGACATTTGTTATAGGTTGGTTACATTTGATTTACATAAATCAAGAAAAGAACAGAATATTTATGTGTTTGTACCTGTGTTATCTTCCTCCTCACCAGGGTCTGCTGGTAGAACTGTTACTTTGGTGCCAGTCTGTTGAATAAACTGTTGAAGGTTTACCTGCCTTAGCTCCTTAGTTAATTGTTCCAGCTCCTGCTCTCTCTCCTAAATCAAACAATTAAAAGTTAAAGAATCTAACATCTAAAATAGACAATCAAATCAAATGTTTTCCCTCATACCTTACCATGTTCACACTTTTTTAAAAAGAGTAAGGCCAAAAGAGTGCTCCAAAAGACATCTATCTAATTTGGTACCAAGATAGTCCAGAGAGAACTTAGTGCTCTAAATACAAGTGTATCTGTTTTATATAACATTCCAGGTGAATACAAACTGTACTGGAACATATTCTACTCCTTCACTTCATCTGTAAGCTCTGGCAAAGATCTTTTACATAACATCTGTGACCACTACCCTCCACCCCCCACCCTGGTCCCTAACATTCTGCAAAGCCGATTAGTTGCATTGTTGGAACTTAAGGTCAAAGAGTCTAAAACAAAGCAGCTGTAGCTCACTAGGTTTCAGCAGGGCCATGCTTCTACTGCATAAAACAAAGTACTGGTCATGATTGTTTTGCTATTCATGATTGTTTTGCTATTCATTAGCACTTTTCCTCAGAGGCAGTTGTCACACTTGGTACAAGAACTTTGGATTAACTGACAAAACTTTATACGCAGAGAACGGCACTTGAGATCATCTGCCACTGATGCACTGCAAGAAATGCAAAGATTGCGAACTGCTCACCAAGGAGACAAGCAGCTATGATAGAGGTGTCCTATCCTGCTCCTGGAGGGCCAATGACCTGCAAAGTTTAGCTCCGACCTACCCCAACACACTTGCATGAAAGTTTCTAGTGATCCTGAAGACCTTGATTAACTGGTTAGGATTTGAGCTAAACTCTTCAGGATAGTGGTCCTCCAGGAGCAGGACTGGGCACCCCTGAGATATAACCTAATCTTTGAGAGAGAGAAATCCACTATTTCATCTTTGCATGCTCCCCAATTCATTAAAAGCAATTCACTTCTGCGATTTAGGAAAAAATTATTTCATACCAACTGCGAACCACACCTGCATACTTTGTATTTGGTTTACTGTTGTGCACCTGAGTTTGGACACTTTCACACCAACCAAATTAAGCTTGCTGATGTCAAATGGACTTTTGCAGCGCAAAAGCTCTAGTGTGAGTGCAACCTCAGTCAAAACCTTGGTCAGAAAGTCAGCAATGTTAGTGTAAGTGAATTGTTATATTCCTTTAGGTGATCTCACCTGTAGCCTAATGTTTGACTGCCCAAGCGAGAGCTCCACAGCTCTGCAGTTGCTCTCCAGTCTTGCAGCCTGCTGCACCTGCACGTCCAGCTCGGCACGGGCCTTGTCCAGTCGCGACTGTACCTCAATTTCATCTGCTATTCGCGTTTCCATCAGCTCTTGTTGTAAGCGCTCTGCCTCCAGCCCTGCCTCCATGCACTGAATACGAGCCAGGTACTCTCCCAGCTGCTCCTCGCACTCTTGTACACGGCTACGCAGTTCCTGCAGCTGCGCACGCAGTTGCCTCTCGTTGTCCTGCTCAATCTGCAGCTCATTCTCCCAGAATTCATGCTCCTTCATCTCCGCCTCATTCCTGCGGACCTGCTGCTCTAGTTCGACTAGCTCCTCTTCTTCTTCCTCCGTCAATTGCTGCTGCAACTCAGTTTCACAGCGTTGCAGTTTCTGCTCTAGGACGCGCAGTTTATCTTTCTGCAACTGCACCAGAAGGGACAGCTCCTGCGTAGGTGCCGGTGTGCTGCTGCGGATTGTGTTCACCGTTCTTTGCTTGGTCTCACCCTCACGACTCTTCCCGAAGATGTCACGCAACCCCTTAGCACCACCTGTGAAAGTGAGGGACTTGCGTTTTGGTTCACGGCGTTTTAGGGAACGATCGTTGGCTGTGGGCCGGAGCTTTGCCATGGGAGGAAGACTTTGGCGATATAGGCTGCGCTCAGGGGCTCTCGGAGAGGTGTCCGAGGTGGGGCGCTCGCTCAGAGAAGGGCCTGTACGTTGAAGCACCAACTGCACATCACTAGCGTACTGACCCCACTTATTCAGAGAAACCACAGGATTCTCATGGGGTGCCAGGTGCCTCTCTGTCTCACGCCATTTTTCAATCAGCGTATAGCGACCAGTCCGCCCTGCAATACAATACTTTTACATTATCAATGATTTTTAAAATACTTATTAAAACATCTGTCATTTGCTCTGTGTAGTGTCAACTGTAACTATTTTCAGTTCAAGATGAAGTGCATAATTTCTGCACCAGTAGCATCACCACTATGAATTGCAAAAATAAGTATTGTATTCAAACAAGTTTCTCAAATTTCCCCTATTGGCCATTTGTTGAGCCTGTGTTGCAGGACTAGGCTTAATGAGGATGTTCAAACAAACTCAGCATTGTTTGTTAGCGGAGCCACAGCCTTTACACTCTGGGGAAATCAGCCTATGAATGGCTTACATATAGTTGTATATTAAGCTGGGAAAGAAGCAGGTATTTTAACAAACAAAAAACTGCACACTTTAACTTTAATCAAACTGTGTATGGCTAAACAGAGAACCTCTAAAGCTCTAAAAACATGGTGACACAAAGATTTAACTTTCCAAAGGAAATTCATCCGACATTCACTAAAGACCAGGCGCCACAGTGGAACAGAGATTGTACTTATTCATGAAATAATTGAATAAGACACAGTCTCCATTTTTTTCCAGTATAGGGTGATAGGGTCGAACTCTGAGACTAGAAGGGACAATACTGCATTTCACTTTTTCAATCTCTGATCTCAATGAGGGCTTGTTGTCAAGGAGACAACCATAGTGAGTGTTATGTTGTGTCCTGAGGAAAGGAGGAACAAAAGGAGCATGGAAGGGAACATACAAAACATGGAAAAGAAGATCTTTTAAAAATGGTGCCATTGTGGTACATTTACAAGTTATTCACAATCAGATTTAATGTCTCACCTATTGCTTGGGCCAAAGCGATCACAACCTCTTGACATGTGGTGACCTCGGTGACACCACAGACGATGCGCTGCACTCCATCCACCCACACCTTCAGCTCCATGCCTCTCATCTGGATGATGTCATTCCTCACTTCTGCAGACACCCGTTACAAGCTCTCTGGTCTGCATGCTGCTCTTATCACTGCTTGTGAGACAAAATAAATGTTGGTGGTAATTCCACTTATTTAAGAAATTATTCAACTATAAATACTCCCTCTCTGTCATTGGAATCATCTTCAATAACAGTGACACTTGGTCCTTTAATATACTCCATACAGTGTCAGTCTGACAGATAATATCTTTAGTTCTTGGTGTAAATGGAGGGTTTGGGTGCTGAAGTGCCAAAGTGCTCAAGCTCTCATCTGTTGTTATCCTTAAATCCAGCTTGCAAATCAATTCCCACTTACTATATTGTGGTTTGGCCTTTAATGCTATCCTGTTGTTCTCTTAAGGATTGTAACACTCGAGAGATCTACACTGTAAGAGCCAGTTACAGTGTGTGGCTAGTTGATGGACATCTCATTTTTATTTTTTATTCACTGCAATGCTACTCCAATTTATTTTGCCCGTCTGACTTCAGTAAATAAAATATTAATTGATTACTGAATGATAAGAGTAAAGAGATCATTTGTATCAATTGAATTATATGCATCAATATTGTTTAGTTAAAATTGATAAAGTTGAAAAAAAAAAAAACCTTCAACTGCACCCAATGTAGAACACTCATAACTAGGTAATTTGAGTTTAAGACCACTCCATTAAAAGATCAATTAAGAGCATATTTTAACACAAACACCATAGATATACAGTATAACTTCCTGATTCAGATTTGTTCCTTTTTCTTTGTTATTTTTTTGTTGTACGAGTTTTGTTTACTGCGTATCATTGGTAAGGAAAGCATACTCTAAACTAATGCACTGAGTGATGAGAATGATTTATTTAGCTGTGAACCACTCAAGCTGAAGAACTGGTCCAAACAGGCCTGTATGGACACTATAGATGGTGCCCACTCCCATGAGACACACTCATAAAGGATAAGTGAGATGAGCTGTTACCCTTGACAGGTAATAAGTCTTTCAGTGTGTGTGTTGTGAAGAGAGAAAGTCCTCTGTTTGTCTCTCATTCTGTATGTTTTTGAGAGTGTTTGGTCTGCTGAAATCTGAAGTGGTCTCTGCTGAAGTGCAGTGGGCAAAATCTTGATATGCCATCTCACACCCAGCTGATATCTATGATGGATACCCATGCCTGCATAGTGTGATCAGTATGTCAACACTACACAAATACAGTTGCAGCAAACCCCTAACCCCAAGTATTAAATTCCGGCATGTAAATAGTCCCTACATACGATTATCGAAAAAGAAACATTTTTGATTAAATGGAGGCAGATCTGAACGTGAGCTTGCAGTCGATTGTAAGATGAGGGGTTTCAGAGAATTGAATGATTGGTGAAGTCCTGCATAAGTCACCACAGAGAAGTCTGTCGTTTCACCGAAAGATCAAGTTATGACAATTCACCCTTCGCCTGGAGTTTGATTGACAGGCGATCTGACAAATCATAACGCAGAATCTGCCATTTTGTCCGACAAACAAACCAGACAGAAGAGTTAGTAGATTAACGTCTGTGGGTATTGAAAAATGGTGTGTATTGACGTCTTTCCGCGGTTGAAACAACATACCTTCTAATGTTCATTAATGTTTATTTCGTGCTATAGGCCTAGCTAGTAGGAAGAGATGACTGGTTCATGTGCCGCTTGAACTGAGGCGCTTCAGCGATCTGTCACGACACATTAAAGAGCCACAAAATGGTATTTATTGTTTGCATTTAAATTTGATTAAACATTGCCTGCTCAAAAAAATTAAGGATATGCATAGATGAATCGTTCACGATAAGATGAATTTAGAAAGTAGCAACAACAACAACAAAATAATTCCAAATTGAATGAGGGATTCAAGGAATAATATCATAGAGACTTAAGAGGGTTGGGCTCTTTTGACTTGGCCCAGTAAGCAACCACCTATAGCAACCACCCTAAAATGCACTTAACATAACTTAAAACTTCTTAGCAACCCCCCACAACATCTTAGCTTTTGCATTGGCAAGCACTACTCACATCTAGTCTAATCTAGTTTTAATTCTGTCCTGGTGTGCGTTTTGATACTCTGACATAATATCTTAATCAGTCTCTCATGGATAGGGACATCGGGCCAAGAAGGTACGTAACGTAATCATTCACTTCTGCTTCAGAAATCTCTCATGAGCTTGTTAATACAAAGTTCAGTCCCACCAGTTTATCAAAGCAGCATACAGTTATGTGGTGTTGTTTCCATGCATGTTTTAACCGCTGTGTTAAAGCCCTACCCCCAACAGTATTATGTGTCAGCTGCCGAATTTGTGTTTAACTGTATAGACATGAGTGATACAGGCATCTGCGCCAGACTAGCTTCGGCTTCATTACCTGGGGCTAAATTTAACAAACTCAAGGATTTGGTGGGGCCTTCACTGTAAGGTGCAGCCAAGACAGCCGCTAAAGGAGACGTAATAATGCATCTAAACTCACATTCCAGACGACTCACATGTTTGACGTCCATAAACACAGATCAGTACAGCACATATGGCTAGATCCAACAGTAACCCATCGGATGTAACGGTCCCAGCATGCTGCGCTCTCACATGCTCTGTCAGGTCAATGTTGTTCATCCATTCTCGCTTTACTAACTCTGTTCTAAGGCCCCATCCACACTACTGCGTTTTAGTTTAGAAACGGATAATTAAAACGAATACGATCTCCGTCCACACCAGCGTTTTAGCTGCGTATTAGAATTGATCTCCGTCCACATTAAAACGACTGAAAACGCGGATCAAGTGACCATTCACCAACACTGGGCATGCGCCCATGTGAACACAACTTCATTGATAAAATTATCCCACCATGCTCTGGGTTAACCCCAAACCGACGCTCCATGTACGGTCAACGCCGCCGCTGCACACGGGAATTGTCACAGATCGCTCGAATAATAGCTTGACTCCGGCACATGTAGGCAGTTATAGCGTTGTAAAATGCAGAATTTACTTGTACAACAGCTGCTAGCAAAGATATACGCCATGACTGATGACACCCAATCATAGAGCCGAGCGTGAGCCTCTACTACGTCATCGTTTCTAAAGTCCTCCGTTTGGACCCGTCTACACTAAAACGCCCTCCGGAGATTCAAAACGAAAAACGGATCGGCAGCGTTTCTAAACTTCTCCGTTTTGGGTCTCCGTTTTTGCCGTTTTAAGGCCAATTTATACTTCTGCGTCGAGTGTACGCCGTAGTGTACGGCGTAGGCTACGCACGTAGGCGACGCCGCCATGAGCATTTATACTTCTGCGTTTAGGTCTGCGTTGCGCTGCAGTACAGCGCCGAAACGCTAGTTGGCGGCGGAGGGTTTTAATGTTCCACTGTGTTTAGATTCCTCGCGGCAAGAAGAAGAAGATTCCTCGCGGCTGTTTTGAGTTTAGGTTACTACAAGCAATGGCGACTGAAAGAGAGCAGATCATGTTGGAGTTGGAGCTTATCGAGGTGGAAAAGGTAAATTTTTAGTTTTTTTAACAGTTTCGCTGTACTTAGAATTTAAAAATGGCGGGCGGTGCAGAAGAACACGCCGGAAATGCATAGGAGGAAACGCGATGCTACCAAGCCGACCAATCACAGATCTTGCGGTCCGCGTCGTCGCGACGTGTAGTTACATTTTTGAGGAGGTGCGCGTCAGGTTACGGCGAAGGGTACGGCGTATGGTACGCGTCTGTGCGTATGCTACGCCGTACCTACTGCGCGCACCCGACGCAGAAGTATAAATTGGCCTTTAGTGTGGACGGGAGGTGCAAACGTAGCAAAAGATCTCCGTTTTTAAACGAAAACGCAGTAGTGTGGACGGGGCCTAAGTCAAATGTTTATAAAACTAGTCGGGTAGTTGGGTAGCTGTCATCCTTAAGCGGTCACAAATGAAAACAAAGCTGTGAGGGTTGGCAGTACAGTCCTTTTAATATGCTTTTCTGTTGTATAATTACGGTGTCAGTCCTTTAATCAGCAAAACATTAAAAATGTTTTTTTTTCTAAAAGATGTCATTTGAGATGAAAGCTTGTTCCGCTGTCTAGTATTTCAGTTGCTGTGATTCTTGGAGTTTTAAATACAGCACATGAACACCTTCTCAGGACCGGTGTGTTTTCTAACAAGGGTCCAGGCAAACACAAAGGTCTGCTGGAGAGACGCCCACCCCTGCAGGCCTCACAGCATGACTGGACACAAACAATCCATCTCCATGGTGATGCTTTTGCAGTTTTGTGAATCTCTCACATGGCCGGCTGTGACTGGCCTGGGAACTAACAAACAGCAGCAATTAAGAAACAATCTCTTTATTTTAACTTTTGTCCCGTGTCCCACTGTATAACTTTATCCTGTCAGGGGTTCACAGCTGAACAACGCATTGAGTCACAAACTGACACTGAATTTTAACCATTCAAAATAAAATTGTTTGTCAGTACAGCCTCTGTTAAGGATGAGAAGAAACGCCGAGTAAGATTCATTAACTCAAAGTAACTTTAGTCTGAGCTGAATACATGCAAGTGGCTCTTTCACAATGTGGGGGAAGGGTTGTTGGACATATGTATACCCCCATTGCCGTTCAACACAACGTTTAATTAGCGATATTTAAACAAAATTTAAATTCTGCTTTTAGGCAAGAGAGAGTTCAATCTTGTTTCAACTCTCCTTTGTCAATCATTGGTAAATAATATGAGAACTATGTTTGAGCAGGAAAACTCTAAGAGATGTTTTCTTCAAATGTTTTGAGAGTCACTGCACTTTGCCATTGCATGGACACTCAAACAATATAAAATTAGATTTTTATATTTCTGAATGATTGCCTATAAATAAATAAAACACCACACTCTATGTTTGGGTCAAATATGGACAAACCAACCCAACCATTGGGTTTAAAACATTTCATTTTAAAACTTAAACCAATGGTTGGGTTTGTCCATATTTGACCCAAACATGGGTTGAAACAACTCAGCATTTTTTAGCGCACCATAATGCCAGGTGTGTTGTAGTTGTCAATGCACTACTATATGGTTGCGAAGGCATTTGGAGTGGTTTTTAATGTGTTTTTGTGCAGTTTCTAGGGGGTTCTGGTTGGTTTCAATGAAAGGTTAGGCCAAAAGCCTAACCTTTCAAAGTATACTCCATTTGATAGCATGCATTAACACCAGCACTCGACACGTACACACTAGAAGATTTCATCCTCATCCATCGCTATTTCTCTTTAGAAGTGGCATATAAAAATGACACATAAAATGTCTTTGTTTAAACTTGCGAATGTCTATTGTAGTTGTGGTCTCTAGTAGTTTGTTGCTGCCCCATCTTATCTGTTTCTTTTTTTGACTGAAACAACAGCCGTGGCAGTGTTGCCACTTTTCGGACAAACGAGTGCAAGAAGAAAAGGCTGCCAAAATGTGCGAGCTGAACAGAGTATCAGTGGCTGCAAGCAAACAATACTTGCATACTATGCTAATGATTTGCATCACATGCACTGCATACCCTATCGCTTACACTAAAAAGCCAAAGTATACTTTTGGCTTTAAGGTTAAGGGTTTGGAAAAACAACTAACTCTACATTTGAGCAATAATAACAGCAATGCATTAGCATGCCCCACTAATTAGTAGTAAAAATAAATACTGTTAAATGAATGCAAAGTGCCATTAACAAAACAAAGAAACCAGAGAACAAAAGGCGATTTTCTGTTTCTCTGTCATTGTTTTTCTCTTGCACAACAGATAAATCCCTTCATTTCCTTGAGTTGGTCAGTATGGGTTCAGAAGAGGGAAGTGAACTGTCTGTGACCTGTGACACACTCGTATTAGAAACCAGCAAAAATACAAAAGCAGGGATATTTTAATTACCTAAAGTTCCTGAGACCACAGACCAAACATGTTTGCCACACATATTTAACAAAAAATGTGTATAACTTCAAAAAGATGCAGATCTGGTCTTCCTAACTCATCAAAAGAGTAGAACAGCCTTCTGCAGCCTACTCAAGATCCTTATCTGCATTGCCATGCATTTATTCATGATATTACATGTACATCTCTCAGCACAGTTCCATATCACTACCTCTGTAATGTTACTCCGCCTTCTGCTTTCCTCAGCTTTCCTTCGCTTCTTCTCTCTTCCTCTGGTAGGACGTGCACTGGAGTTATTTAGCACTCTCGTGTACAACAATCCACGATCAGCAGATCTGATCAGTGGGTGTTTAATGAGCCAGCTGTTGTCATATAAGACTGTGTATAATAAGAGGCTGAGGGATGTGTAATTGGTTGTGAGTGAGTCAGTTCTATGAATGAGGCATGTGTAAACAGATCTACGAGTGAGTGAGGCAGAGGAAGGTGGTGTCCGAAATCTGAAAAATGCACATACAAATCCAATGTTTGCATAATATCCTGTGTCTACTAAGATGACTCAATCTGGTCTATTTTTGATGGGTCTTGCTCTGTCTGCTGCATCTGAAGGAGTGGTACATTAGTTCACCAAAAAAAAAGAAGAAAAAAAAAAAAGAAAGAAGGACTAATGTACAAAAAAAGTCAACTTATGATTAAAACATAGCCATTAAATATTCACATGGTTATCTGTAAAGCTCATTTGTTAAAGATGCAGGCTAGTAAGATGTAGCAAACTTTAATCTGATGCTGATGAGTGATGAACAGAAATTTAAACCTGCTGAAAAGTGCATTACTTTAATCACAAAGGCAACAGTTTGGCCTCTACTGCATATTCTTGTACAAGTTCTGATAGTCGGTTTATGTAATCAAGCCACCTTAACAAAAACATTCCTATCTATTAATAAGAGTGCATATAACTTTACAGTTTGTATGACAGTATATAACTTTGAAGGTGTTGGATACTTAGTTGTTTGAGATCATAGTTTGATCATTCATAACTTCAAATAAATCATTAAGCAACATCACATAGGCCTAATGCTTAAAAAGAAAGTATAACTAAAAATGAAAATTCTGTCAACATTTACTACATATTTTTAACATAATGTGTGCCGCCATTTTAAAGTCAGACGCTTCTAGTTGTTTTAGCTGTACAAAAACTGTCTGTTAAGCTGCTTAACCTGGCAAACTAGTTTTGTTATTTTATTTTAATGTATTATCATAATCATAAACGCACTGGTTTGTTGCACAAATAGTTGTACTGTTTACAGCACTTTGTTATTCTTTCAGTTGTTTACATATAGCGGAATCACAAGTCCTTAACTTTCACATACAATAGCTTTCTTTAAAATAAGATGGATAATGATTAATAAATGATGACAGAATTTTCAGTTATGGGAACAGATCACACATTTCAATAATTAGAAATGTCATTAAACTTGAATTCAAATATTTAACACCATCATTCATAATTACTAAATTTGATAAACATTACCAGTGAGGCTGTGGCTAGTTGCACTTTTACTCCAGTGAAAAGCAAATTCTGTAGGCACATGACTTAAAGTATATGTAAATAATGCACTATGGGGTAAGACAATGGACCCTCACCCTACCATCATTATTTTGAATTTTTGATTCAATACCTTATAGATGATCAGAGACAGTCATTGTGACAGCTCTCTCCCTTTACAAATGTCTAATAATGATGACTCATTAATGAAGTTAATATAAAGCCACGGCTGAAGAGTCGTAATTAGTGTTTATAGGATGCAGTGATGTGTGTTTTGTAAGTTTAGGAGGGGCTGCGGGCCTGCTGCTGATCTGATGGAAAACACTCACCATCATACTGTCATTTAACCCGTTAAAACGCATATGTAGATCTGGGGCTGATGATAAAAGATCAGACATTGACTGCACACAGTCTCGTGTCATGCGTCTGTTCTCCTGCGCGTTCATGTAGCTAACGCGTCCCGTCACAACTATTTAAAGGTCCCCCATGAAAACACATTCAATACATGTCGCCCTTCTCTCGGGCTTCCCCGACAGTCCAAATTTTGGACTCCAAAACACGGTGCGGAGACGTTTATTTAAAATCATTTGCGTACCTGCGTGTGTCTGCAGTCCCGGGCAGCCAAAATCCTCAGTCCGGGTCCGCTTCGCTTCCCCAAATCAGAACCGAGATTTAATCAGATTATCTAGCTTTTCCTTCAATGTATCGTAAACACTCTCTTCATTTGATGTCAGTAAATGCGGTCCGGTTCAGATCCGTTCGGACGGTCCGCTCGCTGAAGTTCAGCCAGTGTGGCCCGTTACATCAGCAGCAGCAGCAGATATCCTCTCTCTCTCTCTCTCTCTCTCTCTCTCTCTCTCTCTCTCTCTCTCTCTCTCTCTCTCTCTCTCTCTCTCTCTCTCTCTCTCTCTCTCTCTCTCTCTCTCTCTCTCTCTCTCTCTCTCTCTCTCACGCGAGTAAATACACTGAGCGCGAGCGAGCGGGACACCGCAAGGCATCATGGAGCGAGCGCTTTAAAGCTGCACACACAGCCCGCACTGAACAAGTGTGCTCGCTCACACTCACACACTAGGCTACTACTGCACACATTAAGGGGTTATTTTGCAAAGTCTGTAGAATTGTTAACGCTTTCACATATGTCATTAAGTCATTAACTAATTGATATAATAAGTGCAATTTGCAGCAGTAAAATAAATATGCTGCGATTCAATTTCACATTTACAGACAGACACACTTGGCTTCCGCTTTGATAAGATAGGCCTACTGCATGCAATCACAAATATATTTCATTTTAATTTCTGATCATTAAAACGTTATGTTTGTGTGTGTGTGTGTGTGTGTGTGTGTGTGTGTCACACACACAGACACACACACACACACACACCAAGGGCGTAGATTTGGTTTGAACATTGGGGGGGTTGAAGTTTGGGTATGCCTCCTGATATTGTGATCATGGTATAAATAATAGGGGGGTTGTAATGCATAGATTTAAATATTGGGGGGGTTATATCCCCCCCATCCCCCCACAAATTACGCCCCTGACACACACACACACATACATAATACATATACATGACATACACTCAGACAATTAATTCAAAATGCTAAATAATACAAATATATATAAATGATAAAAACATAGGCCTAATAAAAATGTAGTTAATTATATCAATTTAATTTATCCTCAGTTTATGCTGCTTATATTTATTGTGTTGGCATTTGTGCAGGCATAATGCCTGTTTGTTATTTGATGAGGTTTAATAAAGAAAAATTTTCCTCAGGCAGAGACAGGACTCTATGAGCATGTGCGGATAGTCATTGCTCTGGCTCGCTTGTGATTGCAGAAATTTATTGCATTTCATTTGCCCCGTTATGATTACCCCGGTCTCCCCTACTATAAATGACCAGAATGGTGCCATATAACATGTTAAATAACACCAACAGAGCAAAAGCTGATTTTATACTGTGCTCTTAACTCATTTAAAATAGGCTATCTCATTATAATAAGCATGATGTTTGTCATTCAAAACGCATTACTGTGCTGCATCGAGCTGTACTGTAGCTCATCCTGATTACTTTGTATGTTATAACAACACAATGGAGAATGTGTTACAATTTACAGTGTGCACTGTTTGTAATTGGTTATTGTGAGGAAGAATGAACAAATATTTTGACCACTCTGATCAGAGAGCATTGTAAACATGTCCATGTGAAAAGATTGTCATAAAGCTCAAAACTGTGGATTAGTCTGAGCACTAAATGCCTGGATGAGGTCTGTTTATCAGCTGTGCTGCATGTGAAATCTACCCTGCCCACGATGAGATTATCCACCCAGAAATCTGTGATCTATTACTAAGTGTTGTGTTGTGTGGGATAACACGGCCTGCAAATCTGTTTCTAATATAGAGACCTGCTGCTGACCTGTCTCCTCCCTTCCCTTGACACAAGTGCTCTGCGAGGTTATTAAACAACATAACTTAAAAATGAGGTGCAGCAGCAAATGGACTGAAAATACAGTATTAGCCAGATGTGAGAATGCAACTGCATCTGGGTTCTTATTGCATGATGTTGGGTTATTTTTGTCTGCTATCAATGAGTTTTCTCGATGTCCTATCATACTTAAATCATACAAAAACCATAGACTGTAAAACAATTAAAAGACACTCTCTTATAATCATAAACGATTGTGATTGGTTCTACACGAGCGATGCGAAAAATAACATGTCACACGTGACCAAAGAGAAGACTCCTACTGAAGAAGAGTGAGGATACCAACACACAAACTGATATAAAAATGAGCATCTATATCTTACAGTAACGAGAGAAAGACTAAAATAACTATTTTGGTGGATACTGCAGTTTGCCATCCGCTTCACTAGGGGCGAAAGCGGACTTCACTTTCAGCATGACACCTTTGGCTCCTTGGCGACGTGACGCATGTAAACACTCTCCACAACACGTTTGAACAGTTAACAGAGTTTTCTGCTCGTGCAGATGAGAGCTCACAGTAGCTTCAGTGTCTACAGACTTTCAACGTAAGCAGTCTCTTTCCACACAAAGCGCAAGTAACTGTAAACTAACTAGCATGCGTTAAGTGAATGATGCTTTGTATGAACTGACCTTTCTTTTTTACTGTCTATGGAACTGAAGAAGCTACGCTAGTAGCTTCTTTTATTTGTACTTATAAAAGGTGCAAAGTAGAAACATCCGTTTATCACTGTTTTTTTTCTGTAGTAATCACTGACTGTTAGTAGTAGTGTCATATATTTATATTTATAAAACGGTTAGTTCCAATCCTCGATTCTGATTGGTCAATAGCGGTGCTTTATTCAAGATAAAACCTATGGATAAAACACGGCTACGACCGCTTCACCCAACGGTTCTATTTATCATTGCGCAACACCCTTAGCAACCACCCGTATCAACATAAACAGGAAACACTGCTGAGCCCCAACCATAGACTGTAAAAAAAGGCCCCAACTAAAGAGAACCGCGTCGAATATCACCAAAGTGGAGCCAATTGAAATGAGACAAATATTTAATGCATGCACCATAAACAGAGATGTTCAAATAAATAAACAACAATGGAAAAAAAGTATCTTGTTAGGCAGCATTCTAGCAACTAAATTAATAAAATAGATTAAAGACCTATCAAAATATGTGCCCTTGTGTTTTTATTTATGTAAATATTTAGTAAGGTTAATGCAGTGCAGAGAGAAAATAATGGAATAAACGGGAAATTAACGTTTTCTCCTGCTGAGAGATAAGCTAATATTTGTGAGGAAATATCACATATTGTGTTGTAAAAAAAAAATGAATGAAACAAAGTTTGAGAACGGTTCCTACGTTGTTTTTATTTGAGCTTTATGCATATTACTCATTGGAACGTTGTTGCCGTTCACGGTCTGGGACTATTTTTATTTTTCTAGCGGAAGGAATTCGGCTTTTAGTGATTTTACTTCATGAAAGTTGCACTAATAAATTTTTTTTATTTGTATTGTGTGGTAACCGTTTTTATAAAAGCAGCCTCTCGTACCTTATTGTTAAAAGAGTCATTTTGCGTTTTGTTAAGCTCTGATGTTCTCCTGTTACTTCATAGTTTTCCTACTTCTAGCTGTATGATACAAGATGAACGATTATGGCACAGAGTAATTTTAACGCCATCTTCAGATTTATAAGTGTATAACAGAGGACATATTTGCAGCAGTAAAATAAATATGCTGCGATCACTGATCTATATAATGTCATTCTATATAGATCAGTGGCTGAGATTCAATTTCACATTTACAGACAGACACACACACTTGGCTTCCACTTTGATAAGATACTGCATGCAATCACACTACAAGTAGATGTCATTACGCTCCAAAGAAGCATTTTTAAATGTCTGTCTTTAAGATATATATCTCTTTTATTAGCCATAATATATCTATTTTAAATTTCATCTTCTTTCACACAGCAAACTTTTTGAAATGTAAATTGTGTGTTGTTTTGGTGAAAAATTTGTAAATGGAGATTTATAGTTCTATTGTACAATTGAAATGTATATACAATATGAATTACTTGAGTGTATGTGTGTGTATCAGTGTATGTTTATTCATCTCTTGTCTTGTCCTGTCTTTTCTCTACAGAATGGACCGTACAGAGGTTTGGGTCATGTGGACAGACATTCACTGTAATGATGGAGATCTGCTCATGCACAGGTAATGTTTATATCCTCTTGTGTGTTTTGTTGAGTAGTAAATGTGTAGGTTACCATCATTTTCCTTTTGAAGGGTTGCCTCTTTAAAAAGAAAATGATGGGAACCTAAGTAGGTGGGGAAGGGATGGCAAATTATCATTTTTGTACAGCTACATGTTTTTTTTTTTTTTTTTTTCATCTGGCCAAAAGCATAACCACTGTTGGACATTGTGCTGGAAGTTCAGGGGGAGACCTCACTGGTATCCCCCTTCTTTGGGCACACCCTTCACACTCATTCATATCGCAGAGATCTGGCTGGGATTGAACCAGCAACATCTGGAACCATGAGGCAGCGCTCTTACCTGTGAGCCACAGATCTCTTGTCTGGACATGTGAAGGAACTTATATTTCACTATTCACCTGTATGTGAGCTGGGATTTTACAATAAACCAGTTAAAGTGCTGATGCATGAGAGATCATATACAGCCTACCTGGGATTTAAACCCAAGCCTTTATCACAGCCTCATCCTCAACTGATGTGTGTTTAGCCACTGCACCATCATGGCTTTCACACTGAGTGCTGGCATTTGGGGTGTTTTGTTGAATGTAATGCAATTTAATAATATAGCTGCGAGCAGCGATGACGGGCCCAAGCCGGTGGCACCGCAACCCCGGTGCCTTCTGTTACCTAAAGGCACCGGGGTGGCGGTGCCGCCGGCTTTGGCCCTTTCATCGCTGCTCGCAGCTATATTTTATAATAAATCTCTCATTTTAGTGATTCCCTAGTTATTTTTTTATTTCAATTTTTTCATTGTTCTAATCAGGTAAGGCAAGTAATATTCTCTGATATATACACTCACCGGCCACTTTATTAGGTACCCCATGCTAGTAACGGGTTGGACCCCCTTTTGCCTTCAGAACTGCCTCAATTCTTCGTGGCATAGATTCAACAAGGTGCTGGAAGCATTCCTCAGGGAGTTTGGTCCATATTGACATGATGGCATCACACAGTTGCCGCAGATTTGTCGGCTGCACATCCATGATGCGAATCTCCCGTTCCACCACATCCCAAAGATGCTCTATTGGGTTGAGATCTGGTGACTGTGGAGGCCATTTTAGTACAGTGAACTCATTGTCATGTTCAAGAAACCAATTTGAAATGATTAGAGCTTTGTGACATGGTGGAAGTAGCCATCAGAGGATGGGTACATGGTGGCCATAAAGGGATGGACATGGTCAGAAACAATGCTCAGGTAGGCCGTGGCATTTAAACGATGCCCAATTGGCACTAAGGGGCCTAAAGTGTGCCAGGAAAACATCCCCCACACCATTACACCACCACCACCAGCCTGCACAGTGGTAACAAGGCATGATGGTTCCATGTTCTCATTCTGTTTACGCCAAATTCTGACTCTAACATCTGAATGTCTCAACAGAAATCGAGACTCATCAGACCAGGCAACATTTTTCCAGTCTTCAACTGTTCAATTTTGGTGAGCTCTTGCAAATTGTAGCCTCTTTTTCCTATTTGTAGTGGAGATGAGTGGTACCCGGTGGAGTCTTCTGCTGTTGTAGCCCATCCGCCTCAAGGTTGTGCGTGTTGTGGCTTCACAAATGCTTTGCTGCATACCTCGGTTGTAACGAGTGGTTATTTCAGTCACTGTTGCCCTTCTATCAGCTCGAACCAGTCTGGCCATTCTCCTCTGACCTCTGGCATCAACAAGGCATTTCCGCCCACAGAACTGCCGCTCACTGGATGTTTTTTCTTTTTCGGACCATTCTCTGTAAACCCTAGAGATGGTTGTGCGTGAAAATCCCAGTAGATTAGCAGTTTCTGAAATACTCAGACCAGCCCTTCTGGCACCAACAATCATGCCACGTTCAAAGTCACTCAAATCACCTTTCTTCCCCATACTGATGCTCGGTTTGAACTGCAGGAGATTGTCTTGACCATGTCTACATGCCTAAATGCACTGAGTTGCCGCCATGTGATTGGCTGCTTAGAAATTAAGTGTTAACGAGCAGTTGGACAGGTGTACCTAATAAAGTGGCCGGTGAGTGTATATTGCAATATAAATATATATATATATATATATATATATATATATTTATATTGCAATATATATATCAGAGAATATTACTTGCCTTACCTGATTAGAACAATGAAAAAATTGAAATAAAAAAATAACTAGGGAATCACTAAAATGAGAGATTTATTCTGCTTTTATGATACACTCAAAATATTCCACAAGCAATAATTTAAATTGAATGATATTCAGAACAGAACAAGAATAAAAAAAACTATAACTAATAAATAACCGAAATAATTTAAAGCGAAAGTGAAAGTAAGCTGTGTTGGGCTCACATTACTCTCTCATTCGAATCAAACTGTTTTAAAGGAGCTGTATGTAAGATTGTGGCCAAAACTGGTACTGCAATCACTTTCAAATTACTGTGGAGCGCTCTGTATCCCCTCCCCCCCCCTGACTCGGGGTTGCCAGATAGGCTGCAGGATCCAGCAGGAATTTATCCGACACGTGTGTAGCTGCAGCTGTGGTAACTACAGCAGAGCTGGCAACCCGGATGCTGCAACACTACTGACTTCGTGATTGGTAGATAGGTGGAGGGCGGCGCATCAGACTAAAACACAACATGACAACATCAACATCAGTTGAGGGCTGCAACTTCACTTTTTAAATGACAATATCCTGGCCGGACTACTGTTGTCAGTGATTATTATCAGTGTTATCAGTGAGTATTTGAAATGAACATGATTTCTTAATGTCTAGTGACATATCAGGGCCATTTTATGATTAATTGAAATAAATTTCTTACATACAGCTCCTTTAACATTTGCGATGTATTTGGATGCTAAACTATTCTTTATTATAGGCTTTGTACTTCACTCACGTTCCAAAATTTTGACAGAAAAAACATCCACATTCAGACCAAAATAGACGACTTCCTGTTGGGCTGGCTTAAACTTAGAGCACGAAAGTTGTTTGGCCCGATGAGGTGTATATGTGTACCGAGTTTCATATTATTACATGCAAGTGTGTTTGATTTATGGACCAACTATTCAGACCAAGTTTATGGACCAAGTTAATTTAATTAATAAACTAATTATATAAAACTATTGTCTATGCACTACAATTAAACTGGTTAAATGTCTTTACTTTATTAATAAAACTTATTTAAAAAATACAAGGCTTAAGACATTTATTTTCTTTTTTAATGCAGGCCAAACCACACAGCAGTGAAATGGTTAATCTAGCCCCCCTCCCCTACACACACACACACACACAAGCACACACACACAGACAGGCACAGACACAGAGATATGGCAAGCCATTTTAACATTTAACAGCTAGACTGGATATGTGTTGCAGATATCTGTAATTCAGTATTGCCTAGTCAAAAAGAACATTTCAGATTTCCGCAACTACATTCTTCCTATCCATAATTGTCATTTCAGATATCCACAAAGACATTCTTCCTATGGCAAGCCGTTTTAACATTTAATCATTTTAACCTACTAGTCTCTATTTTCATGCTACTAGTGCTTATTTTTTAGATACTAGTATCTATTCCATTAAGTACTAGTACTTATTCATTAGCTACTAGTAGGGGTGTGACGGTTATTATATAACCGTGAGACCGACGGTTATAGTTGAACACCGTCATTAGAACTCTATAACCGCCAAAACCGTTCTATTAAAATATTTTTTACAAACATTTTTTATCATAGAGAATGTTTAAATACTAATATCAGCTTACGAGGGAAACGGAGGTGGAGTTAGTGGTGCGTCGGAGGCTGAGTGCTGGAGATGATTCGGGAGAGGTCTGTCCCCCTTTACCGATCAGAGCGCGCGCTGACACGGTTAAGCCTTGTTTATACTCGACGCGTCCGCACGGCAAAAAAAAATGGCTGGGTGCGCAAGACCGGCAAGACTTAATTTGGCTTGGCTGTGTGCACGGCTTTTTTTGTAACAGCGCGCGCGGCGCCGCGTCCGAGGATGACCGACTTCAAGCCGAATCTGCCCGAGCATGTATGTCTCACCGCACCGGCACGCAGTTTGCGCGTCTAAATTGCAAAGTTCATTTGTTAAGGTTTTGTTTACTGTGTGTGATTCATTTAATGGAAAGCACATTCACTTCTAGTTGTCTTGCTGTTCATTTTAAGAGCGAGTTGTCCTATAACAGACGAACAGTTATTCAACCGAACGTCCTATAACCCCCCACCCCCGGACGACGACGGTTATGTTACGAACCGTCACATTTGACTCACGTCATAACCGTCATCACCAATCCTGAAACCGGCACACCCCTAGCTACTAGTGCTTATTATTTAGGTACTAGTGCTTATTCAACAGATACTAGTGCTTATTCTTTAGGTACTAGTACTTATTCAATAGATACTAGTACTTATTCATTAGATACTAGTCCTTATTTATTAGATACTAGTACTTATTCATTAGATACTAGTCCTTATTTATTAGATACTAGTGCTTATCAATTAGCTACTAGTACTTATTCAATAGATAGTACTTATTCATTAGTTACTAGTACTTATTCATTAGATACTAGTACTTATTCATTAGATACTAGTACCTATTAAATAGATACTAGTACTTATTCATTAGATACTAGTACTTATTCATTAGATACTAGTACTTATTTCGATAGTCACTAGTAACTATTCTTTTGTTACTAGTAACAAAAAATATTTTTTGCCATTGACTTCTATGGGGATCTGTCATTTAGATATCAACTATTCAGTTCTGACTAGTATCTATTCCAATTGTGACTAGTACATATATATTAGATACTGGTAGTTATTCTTTAGGTACTAGTACTTATTTTTTAGATACTAGTACTTATTCATTAGCTACTAGTACTTATTCAATATATACTAGTACTTATTCATTAGATACTAGTACTTATTCATTAGATACTAGTACTTATTTCGATAGTCACTAGTACCTATTAATTAGATACTAGTACTTATTAGCTACTAGTACTCATTCAATAGATACTAGTACTTATTCATTAGATACTAGTACTTATTCATTAGATACTAGTACTTATTCATTAGATACTAGTACTTATTCAATAGATACTAGTACTTATTCAATAGATACTAGTATCTATTTATTAGATACTAGTATTTATTCCAAATGCTACTAGTAACATTTTTTATTTTACTAGTAAGATTTTTAATTGAACTATACAGTGGCCGTTCTGACTAGTCATAACATAAGATAAGTACTAGTATATATTGAATAAGTACTAGTAGCTAATGAATAAGTACTAGTATCTAAAAAATAAGTACTAGTACCTAAAGAATAACTACCAGTATCTAATATATATGTACTAGTCACAATTGGAAATAGATACTAGTCAGAACTGAATAGTTGATATCTAAATGACAGATCCCCATAGAAGTCAATGGCAAAAAATAATTTTTGTTACTAGTAACAAAAGAATAGTTACTAGTGACTATCGAAATAAGTACTAGTATCTAATGAATAAGTACTAGTATCTAATGAATAAGTACTAGTATCTATTTAATAGGTACTAGTATCTAATGAATAAGTACTAGTATCTAATGAATAAGTACTAGTAACTAATGAATAAGTACTAGTATCTATTGAATAAGTACTAGTAGCTAATTGATAAGCACTAGTATCTAATAAATAAGGACTAGTATCTAATGAATAAGTACTAGTATCTAATAAATAAGGACTAGTATCTATTGAATAAGTACTAGTATCTATTGAATAAGTACTAGTACCTAAAGAATAAGCACTAGTATCTGTTGAATAAGCACTAGTACCTAAATAATAAGCACTAGTAGCTAATGAATAAGTACTAGTACTTAATGGAATAGATACTAGTATCTAAAAAATAAGCACTAGTAGCATGAAAATAGAGACTAGTAGGTTAAAATGATTAAATGTTAAAACGGCTTGCCATATTCTTCCTAGGACAAATGACATCACTTTTGACATTCATTTGTATGGGGTTTTATGGCAAGCCGTTTTAACATTTAATCATTTTAACCTACTAGTCTCTATTTTCATGCTACTAGTGCTTATTTTTTAGATACTAGTATCTATTCCATTAAGTACTAGTACTTATTCATTAGCGACTAGTGCTTATTATTTAGGTACTAGTGCTTGTTCAACAGATACTAGTGCTTATTCTTTAGGTACTAGTACTTATTCAATAGATACTAGTACTTATTCAATAGATACTAGTCCTTATTTATTAGATACTAGTACTTATTCATTAGATACTAGTCCTTATTTATTAGATACTAGTGCTTATCAATTAGCTACTAGTACTTATTCAATAGATACTAGTACTTATTCATTAGATACTAGTACCTATTAAATAGATACTAGTACTTATTCATTAGATACTAGTACTTATTCATTAGATACTAGTACTTATTTCGATAGTCACTAGTAACTATTCTTTTGTTACTAGTAACAAAAATTATTTTTTGCCATTGACTTCTATGGGGATCTGTCATTTAGATATCAACTATTCAGTTCTGACTAGTATCTATTCCAATTGTGACTAGTACATATATATTAGATACTGGTAGTTATTCTTTAGGTACTAGTACTTATTTTTTAGATACTAGTACTTATTCATTAGCTACTAGTACTTATTCAATATATACTAGTACTTATTCATTAGATACTAGTACTTATTCATTAGATACTAGTACTTATTTCGATAGTCACTAGTACCTATTAATTAGATACTAGTACTTATCAATTAGCTACTAGTACTCATTCAATAGATACTAGTACTTATTCATTATATACTAGTACTTATTCATTAGATACTAGTACCTATTAAATAGATACTAGTACTTATTAATTAGCTACTAGTACTTATTCAATAGATACTAGTTCCTATTAATTAGATACTAGTATTTATTCCAAATGTTACTAGTAACTATTCTTATCTTACTAGTCACAACTGTTTTTTTACTAGTCTTATGTTATGACTAGTCAGAACGGCCACTGTATAGTTCAATTAAAAATCTTACTAGTAAAATAAAAAATGTTACTAGTAACATTTGGAATAAATACTAGTATCTAATAAATAGATACTAGTATCTATTGAATAAGTACTAGTATCTATTGAATAAGTACTAGTATCTAATGAATAAGTACTAGTATCTAATGAATAAGTACTAGTATCTAATGAATAAGTACTAGTATCTAATGAATAAGTACTAGTATCTATTGAATGAGTACTAGTAGCTAATTGATAAGTACTAGTATCTAATTAATAGGTACTAGTGACTATCGAAATAAGTACTAGTATCTAATGAATAAGTACTAGTATCTAATGAATAAGTACTAGTATATATTGAATAAGTACTAGTAGCTAATGAATAAGTACTAGTCTCTAAAAAATAAGTACTAGTACCTAAAGAATAACTACCAGTATCTAATATATATGTACTAGTCACAATTGGAATAGATACTAGTCAGAACTGAATAGTTGATATCTAAATGACAGATCCCCATAGAAGTCAATGGCAAAAAATATTTTTTGTTACTAGTAACAAAAGAATAGTTACTAGTGACTATCGAAATAAGTACTAGTATCTAATGAATAAGTACTAGTATCTAATGAATAAGTACTAGTATCTATTTAATAGGTACTAGTATCTAATGAATAAGTACTAGTATCTAATGAATAAGTACTAGTAACTAATGAATAAGTACTAGTATCTATTGAATAAGTACTAGTAGCTAATTGATAAGCACTAGTATCTAATAAATAAGGACTAGTATCTAATGAATAAGTACTAGTATCTAATAAA